CCCCATCTTCCTTCCACGGAGCGCCTGGTTGGTTTGAACCACTGACCTTCCAAGCAGTCAAGTGCCTTATTCAGTACACCACCAGCTGGGTCCAAAATAATACCACAGAGCTAACCAATTGCAAGGCCTTACCCTACCGGGCCTCAGCTTCCTCAATTATAACATGGTATTAGTATAACCTAGACTTCAGCTCTTCCAGTCTTTGATTGTAGGTAGTTATGTAAGTATCTATCAAAGGTAAAATTAGTAGCAAAAAACTAAAAAAACAAAAAAACATTTATAAAGATTCTTTGGGGAAGGTGTTAATAAGAAACAAATCATGTAATGCACTGAATTCATCAAGAAAGATCAGTCTTCTGACACTTGTCACACTGCAATTACTGTATAGTAAGGTTCTTCCCTTAGCACTTTTAATTTAAGAATAATTCTACAATTTAAACCCCTCACTTTTCAATACATCAAAACCAAAGGGAAAAAAAAAAAAAAATCCACTGCCATTGAGTTGATTCTGACGCATTGCAACCCCTCCTTGGGCTTCCAAAGTGGTATCTCTACAGAAGTAGATTGTCCAGTCTTCCTTCCAAGAAGTGGCTGGTGGGTTTGAACCACTAGCCTCCTGGTTAGCAGTCAAATGCCTTAGGCACTAGGTCACCAGAGCTCCCTTTCAATACATAGAATGGATTTTAATTTTCATTCTTTAATACTAGAAGTGGTAAGAATGCTCTGTTGTAAGATAGCAGGGGTAATGAGAATGGTTAAACCTCAGTGGTCATTGAAAGGAATTAAATAAATGAAGCCTAATGGTCAAAATGATAAGATGAATCAGGCATCTCCTGCCTTTGGGAACACTGTCCCTTTACCGATCTAGTTTACACCTCTAACATATGAGGATCAGCTGCACCAACTGCTCCTCAGAAGGAAGATGAGGCTATCTACTTCTGTAGTGATACCACCTCAAAAACACAAGGAGGGGTTGCTATGAGTCAGATCCAACTTGACAGCAGTGAGAGTTTAGTATAGTCAATAGCTGTTCTAGACACTCACAACTAGGAAAGAAAAACATACACCCTCCTAAGATTACTAATGGAAGCTCTGGTGGAGTAGTGCCTAAGCCATTTCACTGCTAACCAGAAGGCTGGTGGTTCAAACCCACCAGCCACTCCTCAGAATGAAAGTTGGGCAATCTACTTCCATAATGATACCACCTCAGAAACCCAAGGAGGGGTTGCTACGAGTCGGTTCCAACTCAAGGGCAATGAGTTTGGTTTCGGAAGATTACTAAGGAACCCTGGTGGCTCAGTGGTTCATGCCTAGCTACTAACAAAAAGGTAGATAGTTTGAACCCACCAGCCATTCCACAGCATAAAGATGGGGCAACCTTGGAAATCCTCTGGGGCAGACTCTGTCCTACAGGGTTACTATGAGTTGGAATCGACTCAACAGTAAGGAGTTTGTTTTTTTTTATTTCATAAGGTATTGATTTGACTTCACAGGGATTTTGGTTATCTAGAAGTAAAAGAAATAATGAAAATAACAAAATAAAAACTGGAACCAAAAGAAAAGAATCAAACAGATTATTTAGTTCATCTTTGAGAAATTCGTATCATCTCTATAGAGCACATAATTACTAAAGACCACGGAAATACCTAGGAGAAAAGATAACTTATAACAATGATTTTTAATCAAACAGACTTCAAAAAGAACCAAACGATTAAAAAAAACTTCTAATGAATCCTACAACTTTACCTCTATTTCCACCTTCTCATAGGGAGCTCTGGTGGCGTAGTGTCTAAGGCATTTGACTGCTAACCAGAAGGCTGGCAGTTCTAACCCACCAGCCACTCCTTGGAAGGAAGACTGGGCAATCTACTTCCATAGAGATACCACCTTGGAAACCAAGGAGGGGTCATTATGAGTTGGATCCAACTCAATGGCAATGAGTTGGGTTTGTTGTTTTTTCATGTGGGCCTAGGTTCAAATTAAAAAAACTCAGAACACAACACTCATCCTTCCATTCTCCATTTCCTACCAAGAAGGGTCAGTTTTCAAAAGCTCTCAAAGTTTAAACTCAGAAGATGCTATATCCCACCTGATCTTCCATGGCTGCTTCAATTTTCTCCAAAGTATCCTTTGAAATTATTATGTGCAGTTATTTCCCTGAAAGCAGATTCCTTAAATAAACTTTTAAAATAATGAAGAGGTGCAGTTAAAACATTCATTTTGGAGAACAAATTCAAGTATTTCCAAATCTCAAAAGGCTAAATGAAACTACATATACTTCTTAAAATCTAATTTCTGGTGATGACATCTTTAACTTATTTTGTTAGGTGCCATCAAGTCAATTCCAACTAATAGCAACCCTATGTACAATAGAATGAAACACTTCCCAGTCCTGTGCCATCCTCATAACCAGTGCTATGTTTGAGCCCATAATTATAGCTACTATGCCAATCCATGTCATTGATGGTCTTCCTCTTCTTTGCTGACCCTCTACTTTACTAAGCATGATGTCCTTCTCCAGGGACCAGTCCTTCCTGACAACATGTCTGAAGTAACGTGAAATAAAGCCTCATCATCCTTGCTTCCAAGTAGCATTCTGGCTGTACTCCTTCCAAGACAGATTTATTCATTCTTCTGGTTGTTGTTGTTGTTATGTGCCTGGTCAAGTCGGCCCCGACTCATAGCGACCCCTCCTTGGGTTTCCAAGGCAGTATCACTACAGAAGTAGGATTGCCCAACCTTCCTTCCGAGGAGTGGCTGGTGGATAGTCCATGGTATATTCAATACTCTTCACCAACACCATAATTCAAATGCACCAATTCTCCTTGAGGCTTCCTCACTGGCTGTCCAACTTTCTCATATATATGAGGTGATCGAAAATACCATGGCTTAGGTGAGACACACCTTAGCCCTCAAAATGCTATCTTTGCTTTGAATTTAACTAGAGACAACAAAATTATAGTATATAAAGACAATGACAGGTTCCGAGCACTGTTCTCATTAAATAAAAGCCCAGGCAATTTCTAGTTTTTAAGATTAATTTTTTAAAAAATATAAAAAAAAAATTATCTACAAAGACATGAAGGTATAATTTAATTCTGTATCAACAGATATTTGTGCAGTGCTCTAAAAACTTCACTGCCTATAATTCACTGCTGAAATCTGACCTATTTCCACAGTGATTTCAGGATACTGCTGTGTGAGAAATAGAAAATTTGTGGTATACTGCTTGGTGGATGTACTGATACCTAACAAGCAACGTACTGCTAGTTTCAGGCCCAGAAAAACAAATTCAAACAAACAGAATTTTACAGTGATTTAAATAAAATAAAATAAAATAAAAATTAAGGGATTGATACATTGATGGTTTTCAGAGAGATCTTAAATTGTGTATCACTCTGTATTTGATGTTCAAGGTTCATGCACATGTACTAGTCCTAATTCTTTAAAATTACACAGCAAGATACAAATCACCATTCTCCTCTAATTTCTGAAATAATTTTAAACTGCGTAATCCAGATTCTCGCTCTCCATTTTTCCACAAAATAATGAGGTGATCAGCAGAGCATGTCACTAGTCCATGATCTTCAAAGTACAGAAACATCTGTAAAGAAAATTGGAAGTACTGATTACAGGAACTTAAAGGAGAACAGAAGAGGCTAGATTAACACATGTGTTTATTAGACTTTGGAGACTTATTTGGATCTGAAAGTCAAACTCTATTTCATTTTCAGTAAGAAATTTTATTTTTAAGTGTTGGTAAAAGTCACATATAATTACAGTAATAGCTAGTGTTTTAGTAATCGGAACTTTGTTAATACTTCTCAACAACAGAACCATGAAAAATGGCAATTTCTGAATTTTACCATAATCTAATTCTTTTAAGCATTGTTTTTTAAGATTTTGCCAGGTAGAGGTCCTGCTTTACTTAACCATTTGTACTTGTCTCACTATTTATGCACAAATGACTAACAGTAGAATGCTTGAATTGCAAATTTGTAAATCCCCCAAGATAAACAATGGCTTCAGCTCTTTATTTAAAAGTAGATATAACCAATGTATAAGCATTTACTACGTTTTCTTCTATATGCTTATGGTCCCTACCCTTAGGAAGGTTCAAATTCAGTTATGGAAACCAAATCGTAATTGAAAGAATAAGGTCACTAATGAAAGACTGTATAATCAGTCACTAAATAATACAGGAGAGACTGACACGCCACAGACATTAAAAAAGGGAGGTAAAATGAATCCATGATGACTGAAATTGTTAAAGAAAGCTTTAAGCAGATAAAACATTAAGCAAAACGAAGGGCAAGTCTGGCAAGGAAATACGCTGGAAGCTAAGAATAGGAATATGGAGCACTGGTGAGAAGGTGGAATGAATATACTATGGGGTGGAGAATTGATATGAGAGAGAAGATAAATGAAGTCGTTAAAAGGATGAGGTCCTTGAAACAAAGAATGAAATATAGGAGAGAAATAGAGCAATATTAAAGAACAGGATGAGAGTTTTTTTAGAAATGATCTATGGATTTCTAAAGACCAGAGGGGTAAGGCCATGAAAGAGGATCTCAGCTGATGATGCAGAAGTTAAGGGGGAATTAGGAAAAGAAACTTCCCCAGGAAAAAGGGAGATAAAATGTAATACCCAAGTAGAGAGGGCTTGGGTCTGAAAATATAAAACAAATGAGGAAATTTGGGAGACAGAACACCTAAGAGACAGTCTAGATTTTCTCAATGAAGCCACATATACTTTAAAAATGCCTAAGTGTTAACATTTTAATACACTAAGAACCTGACACTGTTCCATACTAGCACGAATGTGCCATTTTTCAGGTTTACCCCACTATTTAAAAACCTTCAGTGGGTCTTCCCAAATTCCTCAGCCTAGCATTTAAGAACATTCATAATCTTGACCCTAAACTTCTTTCTTAGGCTTATCTCCTATTCGTGTCTGTCAACAGGAGTCTAGCACTGCAGCCACAACAATCTGTTCCTTGCTACCAAATAGATCCTCTTGTCTACTACATTCCAAGCTTACCACCCCCAAATTACTTTACAGTTACCCAAGTAAAAACAAAAATTAAACTGGGTTAACTGCTGGAGAAAAGCAACGATAAATAAGACAACCTGAAGGAGCTTATGGTCACAAGGCTATATTAATCCTACTGAAACTTGAAGGTTCAGCTCAAATTCCCAACTCCCAATAAAAAATGTTTCTTCTAATTCCTCAGTATTCACTGTCTGCCATTCATCATAAGCCCCCTTAATGAACAGTTTATTATGTCTATATCCTCCCTTTCTTGATAAAGTGTAAGATCCATGATGGGAGGAATTATATTTTATAGTCTTTGTAAACTCCAGTGTCTAATATAGTGCCTGAGACATAGGAAATGCTTAATAACAGGTGTGCTGCTGCTGCTGATCTTAAGTATGAACGCACTCTCAAATGAAAAGCTATGAAACTTACTCACAGCTATGAAACCAGGAAGAACAATTTAAGAAATTCATTAATGAAAGCTGCCATCTGGATACAACGATGGGTCTCTCCTCGTCCAGAACAGAGAAGAATGAAGAAAACCAAAATTCATGGAAATAATTAGTCCTAGCGACTGGTACACCATCCGATCTGCAGCCTATACAACTATGAGACCAGAAGAACTAGATGGTGCCCGGCTACCACTGTCATCCACTTGGAAGGGGATCTATGTAGGAGATCTTGATAGAGAGAACAATGTGGAACAAAACTCAAAATCATTTGGAGGGGAAAAAAAAAGCGAGGGAACCAGGTTTGCTGGTCCAATAGAGCCTGGTGGAACCACTGAGACTATGGCCCCTCGCTGCCCTTCAGGTCTGGAATTGAACCCACACCAGTGGTTTCCAGCCAAACAAAAGACAGGCATATAAGTTGAACATTTACCTCAAGTAGATATACTCCTTGGAGAGAAAAATCATGGGAGAAAGAAGGGCTGCTTACGCACAGGGAGACAGCTCAGGGGGCAGGAGGGTATGGAGGGATGGACACTGGGAAGAGGTAACTATGAGGAGGAAGTGGGAGGAGAGCTGTTGTATTGTGGTTAACTGTGGTCAATGACATGAGACAAAGTGTATGTGAACTGCTGTATGGAAAGTGAATTTGCTCTGTAAATCTTCAACCACTTCACAATTAAAAAAAAAAAAAAAAGAAATTCATTAATGAGGGCCCTGATTATACTGTTAGCAGTTCCAATCACCTCTTTATTTGGATCAATTTTATTCATTATAGACAACAGTATCTGTGGTAAATATTAATGTTATTTGGTTTTCTATAAAAGTTAGAATTTTATACATCTTACAATTTTCAATTAATATTTTCAAATATGCACAATGATAATCAGGACACAGGTTTTAATAAAGCTAACAGACTGTTATCCTTCAAAGGGAGCTAAAAACAGAGCTCTGTTCAGAAAGTTGCTGAAACCAAACAAAAACTAAAGACCCTTGGAATAAGATTTTATTAAGGCTTTAACTCTACACATATAGCCACAATCCTCTATTCACCTTTTGTTTACTACTGCTACTCACATATATTCAACATTATTCACATTACCCTTATTGACAGCTATCTTGGTCTCATAAATAATAATGACTAAGCTCAATTTTAGAAGCAATGCATTCCTTGCTTCCTCAAAACCTCTCTCTCTTAAGGAAAAAAACTACATGCATACCGTAATCTAATCTTTCCATGTTCAGATTCAGCAAAAACCTATAGGTATCCAAGAAAGGCAGAGCGCTATGAAG